AAACACAATGTCAGACCTGGGATCGGTGCTGCGTTTTCACAGCTGTGCGCCTGACAATTCCAAAAATGTTAAATACGCTTCTTTAGCGTATCTGAGCGTATTACAGGAGGTGGAAACATAAACGAGGCGTTTTGGCCCAGGCATCATCACTGAGGAGCTGAGCTATCAAAACAATCACAATCGATGGATTTTCAGATCTCACATTTCTTTACGTTACAATTACATTCGGAGCTTTGTGTGAGACAAGCTCTTAAATCCTTGTAAGTATCAAGCACGATTCTGATGTTTATTATTGGTGGAGGCCAGAAACTCCGTTATCGCTGATCACATCAGTTGTGGTGTTATACATCGTGCTTCCTCTGAAAACAAACTTCACACCAACTTTCAAGCTACTGAAAACATCTAAACCAGTTGCTGATGAGCTGGAATTTGTTGCCGAGGGGCGAGCACGCTCACCCGCTCTGTGCAGGCCGCCGTCGTCCTTAGCTTCTCCTCGATCTCCTTCCCGATCTTCTGCACTGTGACTTGGGTCTGTTTGATGGCTCTCTGGGCTGTGTGAAGCCTGCCGAGGGAGAAGAACACAAAGTCATCATCCACATCATCTTAACCACACATCAGACCACAAGAACAACTCAGCGCTGAAACTGAGTTTCCAGGAGACCATTAAATTGATGGGCTGGCTAAAAGTTGAGAGTCGGTTGTGATTACACCAGCAAATCATTCTTTTTAGCTTGGATGTTTACACCGACTGTTTGTAGGGCACAATAAGAATAATGATCGTCCCCATGTGGGGAAGACTCATTGTGCAGTGTGTTTGTCATCCCTCCCCGTTTCTTTTCCTGACTTGGGTTGACCTTCATTGTTCCAGACCAATTGTTGAGTCTCTTAAACTGTAAAAGCTATTGAATAGTTCTGCCATTAAATAAGGACATAAACAATATTGAGAACATTTCTAATAATAAAAAAGAGCAGCGAGAACAGACGGGTCAAGTTCTAAAGTACCAGAAACACGATAGCAAAAGTTTAATCACTAATATTGTCTAATAATGGAAACAATACCGCCTGAGATCAAACAGCTCGGCTAGACCTGAACCCAAGCGTGCCAGAGAGCAGAGAGAAACCTCAGCAGCCCCACTAATTAACTAAAACCACAAAGATGGAGGCCCGCGTCCAAATTCCATGTCGCTGTCATCACTGAAATAGGAAACAGCAACATCAGTATACAAATGACAAGCAAGCACATTATTTAGACCATCGATCACAGGAGCGTTTAGCTTCGGAGAATGTTTTCGTCAAGTCGCACAAAGATAGACAAAAAACCCCTCAGCACAACCCCTGGGACTCAACAACTCATCAACAGACGAAAATCCCACATGGTGGGAACTGGCAGTTAGCAATCCAACTGTCGCTCTGGTGTTCAATCATCTGCTTCGTGCAAAATGTGTCAGTGGCGTTCATATGCCATAAGCTGATTGGACTATAATGGTTACAGTTCTATTTCCATGCACACAAAGTGACCCTTAAAAATGAAATTACATACAGTTTGCCTCACTCTTAGAAGTCGTCCAGCATGGTTGGGTTTGATGTAGGGATCCAGTACTTGGGTCATATATTGTAACAAAGAGCTCATCAACTCACTTTATTTGATTTGTGCACCGAGAGCAGTGCAGCGATTGTCAGCTCTCCTGCAATCGCTGGCCTCTAAGCTGATTCCAAAAAAAGTTAGTTGATGTTACAACAATGTTACAATGTTACAACAATGTTACTAATGTTACAATGTTACAACAGTGTTACAATGTTACTAATGTTACAAATGTTACAATGTTACTAATGTTACTAATGTTACAACAGTGTTACAACAATGTTACTAATGTTACAACAGTGTTACAACAATGTTACTAATGTTACAAATGTTACAGTGTTACTAATGTTACAATGTTACTAATGTTACTATAGTAACATTGTTGTAACATTAGTAACATAGTAACATTAGTAACATTGTAACATTAGTAACACTGTAACATTTGTAACATTAGTAACATTGTTGTAACACTGTTGTAACATTAGTAACATTGTAACACTAGTAACATTGTAACACTGTTGTAACATTAGTAACATTAGTAACATTGTTGTAACATTAGTAACAATGTTACTAATGTTACAACAGTGTTACAATGTTACTAATGTTACAACAGTGTTACAATGTTACTAATGTTACAATGTTACTAATGTTACTATGTTACTAATGTTACAACAATGTTACAATGTTACTAATGTTACAATGTTACTAATGTTACAACAATGTTACAAATGTTACAACAACCAACTCAAAAAGCTGTTTTATGGCCTGTTAGCAAGAACTGTTTTTGCCTCCTTGTGCAGCTTTTAGTGCAACTCTGTCCTAGGAAATGGACGTAGGGGCGTGGCTGCACAGAACGGTAGGTATCCCAGTATAGGCAGTTGGAACCAATCAGCATCCAGGCCTCATCCAGTACTTTGAGAGGTACCTCTTGGAGGTACATCCAAGAGGTTTGGGCTTCATTCTTGGTGAGTGAAATTTTTGTGTTTTAATAGACTGTAACTTAAGTTCTTATCAGCTGTTAGGTGTGTCTGAGTAATGCAGCTTGCTAGTATTAGCTGATAAATCAGCACTGCAACCTTTTATCCATAAAAGGCAACTTCTGGCTCAAAGACAAAAGAAAACAAAAACAGAAAATGCTGTTCAAGTGCCTTACACATGAAATAATGTGCAACACTAGGTCTCTTCATCTAAATGAGGAATAAAGCATACTAATTTCAGACAGGGGAGGCTTTTTTGTAATGTAAATATACTTCTTCAAGAACCAAAACAACAACAAAAACGCTTATATCATGATGTAGATAGAGCTGTAAGTAGTTGTCCTGCAGGGGAACCACACACTTATATATATTTTTTTAAATCTGTCTGAGGTGACAGTGATAAGAGTTGTTGATAGTGTTTTGAAAGATCAGGATGAATCTGTTTTGAAAGCTTCATCTGTTTAGGTGATTGCAGTGCGTTCCCTCAGGTGAGAGCTGTTATCTCCCCTCTCCTTTTCACGCATGTCTGCTCCGTTATCTCTCCCCGAGCCTCGGTCTAAAGCACAGCAATCACTGCAGCAGAGGGGAGGCAGGGGGGGTTCATACTGTACGCTCTCAGTGGGTCTCTTTAAGATCCGAGTAACTGTCCAGCAAACACCAGCTCATGTGGTCATTGTTTTCATGCCTGACAACTCTGCTGTGGACACGCAGGAAGTTATGACTGAGGCTCTGCGCTCAACCCTTCATAATGATAAACATCGGACAAACAACACCATCTGCTCCTTGGATTCTAGATATGATGAGGTGTCGCATGAAACTAGCACCTAGATTTTTTTGATTAAAAAGAAGGCACTGTTGGAAACTCTGGGTAAAGGTTTACAGAATAAATTCAATAAAAGTATTTTTTGATAACAGGAAGGAAACTGGAGGGGAGGGGGGCTTCCTCCGTGCAACGCAGCTTTTGTTTTCTGTTCATTTACCTTTGCTGATTATATTGAAATAAACATTTGCAGCCATGATGTTGTCCTGAATTTGCACTTTTGTAAATGAGGACTGAGAGCGAATCAGCAAATACAGATGTGTCATCTGGCTTACAAACAAGAAGGCACCTGGGAACATGTTTCTCATCTGAAAGAACGTGAGAGCTAAACTTCAAGGGTGGCCTTGTGCTGCTCTGTTTCTCAGGCAGGCGACTCGAAAAGAGGACATCACTATGCAGTGGCTGCAGTTAGCTGAATGTTTTCTATCATTTGTATGTGCAGGCGATCTTTCAGTTTCTTACAATATCAAGTAGTAGTGGGGCGATCGTGGCTCAAGAGTTGGGAGTTTGCCTTGTAATCGGAAGGTTACCGGTTCGAGCCCCGACTTGGACAGTCTCGGTCGTTGTGTCCTTGGGCAAGACACTTCACCCGTTGCCTACTGGTGGTGGTCAGAAGGCCACGCCAGTGTCCGGCAGCCTCGCCTCTGTCAGTGCGCCCCAGGGTGGCTGTGGCTACAATGTAGCTGCCATCACCAGTGTGTGAATGTGTGGATGACTGGTTGTAAAGCGCTTTGGGGTCCTTAGGGACTAGTAAAGCGCTATATAAATACAGACCATTTACCATAGTAGAGCTGCTCTTGATTCTTTCAGGTTTCGTTCATCAGGAAACACTAAAACAAAATGACCTGAGCACAAATAAGTCTTAAAATTACAAATACAACAACATTATTATACAACATGTCATTCTTTATTTAACAAAAACTACGCAGAAGCAGTTTGTGAAAAATGTAGTACGTCCTTACTGCTCCCACTGGTGCTGCTAATCAAATCCACTCGGTTAATTGATAATTAAGTGTGCCTACTCCCATAAAAGCAGAGGCTTTGGCAGTTTGAGTGTGGGAGTGTATGTTAACACAATGTCTTCCCAGGAGTGGATGTGCCAACAAAGGGTCACACCGTGCAAAAAACCCAAGAGCAACACCTCAGACTCTAGAGGCTTCCTTTCCTTTGGGTACACGAGACCACAGTGGAGTCTGGCACGAGAAGGAGAAACAGATGTAAAGTGACTAAATGTATGTTGTGATTCGTTTCCTTTCCTGTGTGGTTCAATTAAATCTACGCCGAGGGCAACTCCTGAAAGTCTCCTGCAGGGGGAATCCAGTCGATTATGTGAGAGCTGTCAGTCAGCACCCTCTCAGCAGGCGTGCCAACAGGCTTCTCACAATTTACGTTTTTTTAAATCACCTATTTTTTCCTCACACTTTGTCATTTTTAAAAATATTTGGGTGTTTGGCTGGGTGGCTGATAACACGTTTCTGTGGCGTGACAAACACATTTCTTTCTGCTTTACACTGACTGTAAAGGAGTACTCACTGTGTGGCCTGCCCACACTTCCACCTGTTTATCCCATGTAAGTGTACCCAATGCATTTGTCAAACAATCCTGGATCAAAGGTAGCGAGCCCACAGATTAACGACTGTGCTGTATTCATTTCTAGCAACCAGCACAGGGTGAACAGGGCCGGCCAATTAACCCATTGAAAACAACAAATGGAGGGTAAGATCCCACAACGTAGGAAAATCACAGCGAACAACTCTTCTCGCTGCTGCCTATATCTCACAGCGAAAGAATGTCAACACATTTAACTACTTGCTATTCACATCACCTCTCCATTGTCTCCGTCCACATGGACTGAAAGATAAGATTTCTGCTGAGAAGTTTCTTTGGCGAGCCCGTGTATGTGCTTCTCCTGCTCCGGGGCTGCTGTTTTTGTGGGGATCTGTTGCTATAAGCCATGTTTACACGAGCTACAACAAAGATGCAGGGAAGCCAGAGAGATCTCGAGGAAAGATATGTTTAGTCTTGAAAGGGTCAAACAGGGGTCAAGCATTTAGACAACTCTGGAAGGTTGGACTCCCATGATGAGTCACAAGTGTAGGCTCCTTACGCTGGTCTTACTCTAAAAGTGTCAAATTATTAGTTATGCTCACTTAGGCTGGTGTAATTAGCCTTTTTCTTTTTTAAAACGTCCAAACGCTGTAAGTCAAAGCTTGCACTCTTTTGTTTAAGAAGCCAGAAAACAGAAAGAGAGACTATAGCTTAGTACTGTACATGTGGAAGGAGTAATCCTTACGTCAACAAGCTGAGATAACAAAAGCCTGCAATGCTCGGCACACACCAGAGGGGCTGTAACGCTGCAGACGTGAGAGAAAATCGGACGAGTAACGGGCAGCGTCAGGAACAGCAGACGAACTGGAAACATGGATCTCTGGAGGAAGCAATCTCAGGCTGAAAGATGTGTTTTGGAGGACAGGCAGTGAGGTAAATAACTGACACACACGCAGCATATCTGAAATAACGATTGGTCGTGTTGCTCCAGAGGAATGAAACAACCAGCGGGCTTGCTGACCTCAGGGGCTGCCTGCAGGAAAGCATTAGCACCTCAACCGTCTCTGAAGCCCCTCCCCCCCATTGAGTTCAGCAACACTCTGCACGGCTTCCGTTGACACACACCGTACGTACATGTAGTCCACGTACGAGCATACGCAAGGAAGTCAGGAGACGACGCGTGGCTCTGACCACTGGAGAAGAAGAGAAGCCTCCCTTTTAAGCTTTGGGCGTTTGAGACATTATGCTAACCTGTGAAAAGTTCTGCTCCAAGAACCATGTTTACTAGAGGTGGGAATCACCATACATCCCACGATACGATATTATCACGATACTTAACGCACGATACGATATTATTGCAATTTTTTAAAATATTTTGCGATATTCAGATTCTGTACATAAAGGTAAACTTTATCAATATTCATTTTCTCTAATATCAAAGTCTCACACTCAGTCTTTCTCTCATTTCAGTTTGATTGTTGACAAACTGAACGGTTTGTATTACAGTCTAGTCCAACTTAACTGAATCAACCATCTGGTACAATTATAGCTATTCTGAACTATGCAGTTTATGAAAACTATGCAGCCCCTTCAGCAACTGAAGAATTTGAAAGTAAATTAAAACAAAATATAATTTTACATTAAATAAAAAAGTTTTAAACTTAATTAAAATAAAACATGTCTTAAATTAAAATAAGTAAACTTTCATGTTTATTGCTGCCAAAAACAAGTTAAACACATTTGGACAGTGAAGGAATGTCAGGATTCTTGCTCAGAAAAAGGATCAACATGCTCTGAAGTCAGAGCACAAAAACCTTTTTGTAACAAAATATCGATTTCTGCTGTCCCTGTATCCATACATTATTAGCAAACAAAATATCACCATGCTACACAGTATCCATTTTTCCCCACCCCTAATATTTACCATGTGTCACATCATCATAAGGCCCAGCAGGGTTTACAAGTGCATGACTCTAAACTGGTTTCAGAGAGCAGGGACCACGACGTGCACACTCTCACTTACACACTACTTCAGTGTGACACAAGTTTAAACTGCAAAACAATTAGAATCATGAATTGGTGATATCAAAATGAAAACCAAGCTACAAGCTTCCACCCTGTCCTACCAAATAATTATTCCACTTACAAGCTCTGCCAGGACAGAGAAGCATACTCGGGGGGGTCAAAGAATGTCTGAACCTTTATTAATAGTCTCTACATAAAGGGGGGGCTTTGTTGAACAGCTGTCACGTTTTTTTTCTACCCACACAGGGGCCTTGCTCTTTGTAGGATGTGGCCTGCCCTCTATCACAGCCTCACTGACAGAGACAGGAGTTTGCTGATTGATGATCTGTTTGCTCCCTCTTCATCTCACCATATGAGATGTGTTGTGTTTGCTACTCACACAAGCGAAGGGTGCTGGAGCCAGGCCGAAAAAGCACGCTATGAATCTGCTGACAAATTACCGCCATTTATCAAGATCAGCAGCTCTCTGTGGAGCCGCCCTCATCCATTTCCATTAAAACACAGCATTAACAAAGACACACTGAGCCAGAAAGGAGAGCCGGAGAGAGCTGGGCGAGATCTCGACACTGTGGGTGTTTGCAGTGGACAAACTGCTGTTTGAAGACATTTTTATTTATATACATTTACATATATGTATCCCCCATGAGTTAGATGAGCACAGGTGAACACCACCCTTCATCTCACTTCATCATCAAACACCTCCAGAAACTAAGCAGACATGCTTATATGCCTTTGGGGGCTACAATAGTGCACCATGTCTGATGAGTCATGTTATAGTATGTAATAATAATAATAATAAATCATGTGCATGTGAGTGCACCAAGCCAAAAAACACTGACAGAGGTGGAAGCTGCAGACAGAGCAGTGTGAGGAAATACAGGGGATCAACCCACAGGAGTGGGCAAGATGTCACGAGTTAAGAAATTAAGTAACTAAATTGAAAAGGTGGAAGAAGAAAGAATATTATCAACTTAAGCTCAAGGAGGCCAGTAAGGAAAGTTTTAAATAATATAATAGGTAGAGATCCTGCTCACATCTACACGGGTGGAACGTTTATAAGTAAAGCTAAGGACAATTATGAATTACTACAGCAATAAAATAACAAATTTAAAATCTAACATGAGCAGAGGAGATCCCACCTTATCACTTATACAGGATGTTATCATGAATAATAAGCAATGCCAATTTAAGTTTGAGGCAGTGAGTGTGGAGATGGTAAAGCGTTTATTGATGTCACTTCCTGATGATACATCCTCCGGCTCTGATAACACAGACAGCAAACTGCTCAAAGTTGCAGCCAAGTTTGTGTCCCTTCCTATATGTCCCATATGTAATAGATCTTTGGCATGCAGCTTATTTCCATTGCAGTGGAAAGAATCAAAAATAATTCCCATTCCTAAAAACAAGAATGACGTTTTTAATGGTGTCAACAGCAGATTAGTCTGCTCCCGTTCTAAGTAAAATTATGGAGAGGATCGTCTATGAACAAATTCAACATTACCTAACAGAAAATCAGCTACTCACTCAGGTTCAACATGCTTACAAACCTGCTTATTCCACCAGCTCAGCTCTCAGTCACATGACAGATAACTGGTATAAATATCTAGATGATGGGAATTTGG